ACCATATAACTCAAGGCCCTACACAAATTAAATGACACGGGAATATGTTAGCATAGAATGAACACTAAAATACAGAAATTACTATGAGAGCAATGTCACTTACCTCTACCATGGAGCACAACAGCAAAAAGGAGAGAGATAAGGCAGGAGATGCCCCTTTATAGATGGGGCACCCTGAAAGGTGAACGAAGGGGTACAGAAACTAAATATCAAACGTTCCACATATTGACTATGGAGGTCTAAGCATGTCAGGTAATAACAACTGAAACTCTGTCTTAATCTTATGATGTATTTATTTACAAGTCTGACTGCATTTTTTAAATTGTATAATCAATCAATCAATCAATCAACTTTTTTATTTAGACTCCAGGTCCATTAAAAAAGACAGACAAACATACAATATTTAAAAAAGACAATCATTCCAGTGTTTCCACATAGCAGACTGGTATCGTACAGTACTGAGGACAGGGTTAGTCAGCATCATTATAATGGCATTACAAGAACTGTTAAGTCGACATATAAATTTGAATATCAATCGTCTCAAAAGAGCATGAAATGTGATAACTTGTACTTTACAAAAAAGTTCACTTGCACTATACCATCTTGGTTTCCCAAGCAAAATTCGCAGACAATCATTATACGCAACCTGAAGTTTGTGGATGCTGGTCTTTTTTAACTTAATCCACAAGGGCGCAGTATAAAAAGGGGTGCAGTAAGCCCTGAAAAGACTCACTTTAACCTTCTCTGAACACCAGGAAAATCTTCTGGTCAACAAATTTGCCTGCATATATAAAATATGACGTTGTCTATTCATATCATCATCATCATCCGTCATATCATCAGTGATGATGTGTCCCAGATATTTAGTTTTAGAGCAAGCAGGGAGCACTTGTCCTGACAGGTAAAAAGATGGAAAAATGAGGTCCTTATCTCCTTTTACTCTGCAAATCATAACAGAACTCTTCTTAGCGTTATAATTCACATTAAATTTTACACCATAAATCTTGCAAAATAAACTTTAGTATGTATTCACTGACTAAGAACTGTATGATGTTAATGCACATTTATACAATATAGTGCCGTAAGTTACTGTTAGTCCTGGTACTATCGTACAATAGGCCTAGCATGAGATTAGACTTTTAGGTTTTCTTGCTTCAGGTGCTTTCTCTAACAGCAGCACAAACAAAGCTGATCCAGTTCATGTCTCCAACGTCACATGCTGACGTTGGAACACCTGAATGAAGAATTAATTCTTCACCTTCATTCACTTACCTGATTTAAATTTACAACACATAAATAAACACTCAGGAAATAAATCATAAAAACTTAATAATATAGGCAACTTCAGCGCACGGTTTACATTGAGCGTCATATTTCTGTGAAACTGCTGTGTAATCCCCAGATGTGCCTCACACACACCAATATTATAATCTACAGCTCAGGATTTTATCACCCAGTAATACCCACTCGGCTAATGTTGCTTGACTTATTGCATGTCAGCACTCTTTGCACACACACACACACACACACACACACACACACACACAGGATTTAGCTCATTATAACGTCTCTCAATCTAATATGTCGATTTATTAATTCCATGTATAATTTACGCATTGCAGCACACACAAGCTTTAAGGGCACACAGACATTTAAATAGTCAGAAACACTAAAAACACACAATGGCACAAACAAAAACAAATAAAATGACACGTCAGGAGTATAAATTTATATCAGCTATTAAAGTGACCTGCGATACGCTGATGTTTGGTAACGTCTGCATATAGGCCTAATCTAGGCTAAGTGACTTTGTGTGTTAATCACACTGGAGAGAGACTGCCTTGTAAATTATTTTGTGAGGACTGCTGTGTTGCAAGATGGAAGTTAATGTTAAATGTGAGCCTGTGTGCCTTTGTGTGACTTTGTTGGAACAATCTAGTAAATTTTTTAATACCTTTTTCCTTCATTTAACAATGAAGACAAAGCTGTTGGGTAATTTAGGTCGCAGTCCTTGTGGAAGGACTGCAGTATAAAGAATAATACACCTGTTCCCTTAAATGCGCAGCTAAAGTACTCTCATCAGAGCAGGGATGAATAAAGATTGTGCAGCCGTAAACTAGAATGAAATATGAAAGTAGAGACAAGGGGGAGAGGAATGAAGGTTAAAGAGATGAAGAGGAGGAAAAGGGAAGAAGGAAGAAGGGGGCTGCCATAGTAATTTATAAACAGACTCCCCAGAGTCAGACTATGTGGTTTTAATAATCGGAGCACATTCAGAGGTCCTGGATGTTTGGAGATGTATTGACAACTTGCAGGGCTTGTTAGTTCACTCTTGGGCTGGGAAGCTATGCTAGCTGCGAAGCTAGCTGGATTACTAAGTATGAAAAATGGTGACTCACCGGATGGAGACTGTGACTAAAGCTGCCATTAGTCGGCTATTAAAGCCAACATTCTTCCTCCCTTCACTATTGCGAGTTACCATTTTCAAAATCCCCTTTGCAACAGAAAACAATAACCTCCAAGCTAACAACCTACACACTGAAAATGGAACAACTTGAGAGAGTTTCTTCAATTTTGGCACAAACGTTCATTTAGACTAAAGAATGAACTGATTCCATTTCGGTGGTCAAAGGTCACTGTGACCTTGTGTCCATCTCAGTCTTGTGAATGCAATATCTCAAGAACACGCTCATGGAATTTCTTCAAATTTGGCACAAACGTCCACTTGGACTCAAAGAGGAAGTGATTAAAATTTGGTAGTCAAAGGCAGGGTTGGAAATAGATATAGATAACCATTGTTTTTCTGGCTGGTGAGTGAAACAGATCTAGCATCCACATGCATATTTTACCAGCATTTGTCTTGTGGCTGGTGCTAATTTCCAACCCCGGTCAAAGGTCAAGGTCACTGTAACTTTGCATCCGTCTCAACTTGGTGAACGCAGTGTCTCAAGAGAGCCTTGAGGGTATTTTCTCAGATGTGGCACAAACCTTCACTTATGTTGTCTTCACGCCAAACGCGATTTGAATTTTTTGCGCCGCATTACTCATGTTTTTGAAGTTTAGAATATTTTGTGTTGACTTGTGTCATGTGTGTAAAAATCCTGAATCAATGAATCAGTGAATTATCATCTGCCGATACATCCTTTGCGTCATACGTCCCCAGAGGATCTCAATGTCGTTTGGCTATCGTGGTGCGAATCCATTGCTGCAGTTCAGATTTTTCATCTCTCAAGAATAAGTGTATGACACAAAATTACACTACTCGCTTCATCAATCAATCAATCGCATATTTCACTCACATCCATGGCGTCCATCACGTCAGGCGACAGAAATTTGCATCTTTACATTGACTTTACATGTATTTCACTCGCACAAATTGTTTTATTCTCACCTCATGTGAACACAACATTAGACGCAACGATGAACTGATTGTGGTCAAAGGTCGTCGTGACGTCACCAAGGTTTTCAGTCATAACTTAAGAATTCATGCGCTACTTATGACATGATATGGCATAAATGTCTAAAAGAATAAATTGCTAATATGATGACATTTTACATCCAGAAGGCGAGACATTTGGTCAGATACTGAATTGGTGACTCTCATGTTGGGTGTCCATCTTGAATCTGTGGTGATTTCATAGATCCTTTGTGCTGCCAGGGTGAAGATGTGTGTGTAGCATCCTCATTTAAGAAGCTGTCGCTTCTTTGTATCCATATTTGAAGCATTGTCAACTGTATGAGTCTGGACAGACATGGATGTAAACTGTGACTCCAACTTGACTGGTTCACAGAGACATACAACAGTGAGGGGGTGAATCTAGTTTCCCCTATGGTAGAATTATAACGTGTGCTTCCAGACCTTTCTCTTGCACTGTGGAGATAGGTCTGCCTACTTGCGATGAACAATAACTTAATACAGTTATTGTATTTGCACCATTGGCTCCTGTCTCATGAGTTTCGTGTCTCTGTTGCAGAGCAGGTGTCACAACCACCAGGTACCTCTAGCAATGAAGAACACTTCGGTTGATTAGCCTTGTGGACTCCAGGGCCGTGGGCCAAACCTGAACATAATGTTCTGGCATTGGTTGTTGTGTTTGTAAAGAAAACAGCGTACATCCGGTCCAACTCCACATTAACCTGTTTCCTCTCTTCGTGGCTGTTGACCAGCCAAAGTCCAGGACCTGCAGCCAACTGTTTATTTTTAGGCACAGAAGATGCAGATACAGCTGAATTTTTTAGCTTCAACCACTTCCTGGGGGACTGGTTTAGTGGTGTTAGGTGAGCTAGCAGTAGATGCACGCTTTCTTTTGTGTGGTGATCAAATTGGATGGTCTAGGTCTGTAGAGAGAAAATAGCCATCTCATTCTATCTCCAACACTCAGCAACTCATACTAAAACAATCTAAATACATAAAAAGCACTACGGTTAAGAGGAAAAATATGTATTTCTCGATATGGGTGAACTGTCCCTTTAAATAGAAAGCTCCTCACAGGAAGCAGTGCTCTGAGTGTAAACAGTAATCTACCAGGAGTGGGCTCGTACACATGTGGAGCATCACAGATTGATGGTATACATCAACATGCATCAGAACATGTTAGGGTGGATTTGTCCTTCCACTGAACACACACAAACACACACACACACAGTTGTAGTGTACCTGGCACTCTGCCACCAAAGCACTCTGAGCTGATTTCTTTGCATACACACACAAAATAAGGACATCGGGGGTCAAACTCTGAAACCAGCAGTCTGAGTTTAATTTCAGGGAGCCAATTTGAGAGTTGGGAGATTACCTAAGTCGAAATAGGAGCAATCACTTCCTGTTTTCTTTCCTCTTTATCCCTCCAGACTGTTTTTGTCTCTTCGCTCTGTGTCTCCTCTCCTGCAGTCTTTCATCATCTTCCAGTCTCTGACTCACTGTCTAATTGAAGTACAATGAGAACTGCCTGCTCAAGTTTAACCATCTGTCTCTTTGTCTGCCTCCTTCACGCTCTCTGCAGCCTAAACTACAGCGGCATGTGTCTGGCGTCGGACGCACAGTTCAGCGACTTCCTGGATGGGATGGGACCCGCCCAGTTTGTTGGGAGACAGACGCTGGCGACAACATCCATGGGTGAGAGAGGACGTATTTGGGTCACAGCCATTTTGCAAAGCTTTTTCCTGCAATGAGCCACCGCAGCCTCTCAGCAATTTATATATGTTAATGAAGATGGCTAAGGCAAGACTATAAACTTTAAAGTTCTGTATGTAACCTTCAGACAGTCCATGCTGTTATTGATTCCTCTCTCTGAGGCCGTTAAATAAGCTGCAGTCAGCATCCTGTTGCTTGCGAGAGAGCAACTGTGCATCGGTCAAAATAGTGAATGAACAGCTTATATATGTATCAATCAATTCAAATATTTAATTGTGATTAATTGTATGATTGTCTATAGTTAACTCGAGATTAATCGCAAATTAATCACACATTTTTATCTGTTCTAAATGTACCTGTAAGTCTGTCCAGAATAACCTCACAGGTACAACAACAGATGGACATATTGACCTGAATGTAACTTTACTTAGTCACACTAAAACAATGTAGTGTCCAACCTTATTCTTTTAAATGTTAACTAAACATCCCCTGGTTTTTTTTTAAGCAGCTCGAAGTAGATTCAAAAGACTTTCTTTATCCATTTCTGCTCATGGAGGTTTGTTTCTGTTTGCCATCCATATCCTTATTGCTGCATCATAAAATGTCAACAAAGTAAAAGATAAAATTAAACAGCCGAAACTAAAATCAAGATAATAAATTGGAATTTAAATCAATAAGATAGCAATAAAATAGAAAGACAGCTCAGATAAACTCAAGATACGCTTGGCGATAGAAGTATGTCTAAGAAGAAACTTAAATGAAGCCAGTGACCCAGACAGCCGTATATCCTTGAGCAGGTTGAAAAAGCTCTGTCCCCTTTGGTCTTTAGTCTGGACTCTGGAACAAGCAGAAGACCTCTGCCCGAGGATCTCAAACTACACAAAGGTTCATAAGGGACTAAAGGCCTTTGCACACTGAGGGCCAAATTCACAAAAGGATTGAGTGGCTTTTGTGGCCGCTAAACTGGTAAAAATGGAGCAAACAGATACCGTCCAATTCACAAAGCACGCGCAGAGGGTGAAATGCTCCACTAACTGCGCTGCCAGGCAGATTGCGTCTCGGTGCTCTGGTGTTATTTGCACGTATTTAAATGAGGTAATATGCATATATTTGGCGCAAAAATTGTCCCTTTCTATGCAAATGAGCCTCATTGATAAACAACGTCTAATTCACTAACACTAGCGCTAATAGCCACACGCAGTTTGAGTGAAGTAAATAACGTCTTTAGAAAGCTGGTGCAACTGGGCGCTCCTCTGTGGAAGCCTCTCGCCCAGACTTTCCAGTGATCGTCTGTTAAACCAGTCTGTAAATGATATTTTGACATTATTATTGTAATCATTATTACTTTAATGGCATCCGAAGATATTGATGCGTTGAACAGGTGACAGTCTGCGGTCGTTTTCAAAACGCACTTCTGTCACGCACTTCAAAAGCAACTTTCAATAATTTATTTTATGAAACGGGGGAAACAAACGTGAACAAAAACGGTTCCATAATTCATGTTAAATTCAAAAGATAACGAAAAAACAGCTACAAGTGAGAGGGAATAGTGATAAGGTGGTCAAACTTGGTCAAATCCACAGCCTCAACCCATCCGACACTGTTAGACTGACTCACCAGCAAACATCACTACATGAGGGTTTACAGTATTCAGTACTTTGCCAAACACTTACTATGCCATGCCATGTGGCTAATTGCAATCAGGGGCAAATCAGGGGCAAACTGCACTCAGCTGCCAAACTTTGTGGGCGTGTTTGCGCTGGTATATCATTAGCGCAATATCCTTTGTGAATAGGACGTTAAGACGGAGCATACTGCAGGTGCAAGTGAAGTGCAATTCAAGGTGCTATCAGCGGCCGCAGTTCATTCTTTGTGAATTCGGCCCTGAGTCCCATTTTATCGTCGAAAATTGTTGCACATCTAAAACTAAATACGACCTCACAGTGTGTCAGTCATGTCTGTACACCGTTCCATTCAATTAAATTCCTTCTATTGTCATTGTAAATGAACCCCGCACCCGTAAAAAACAGACTCAGTGCGCAAGGGCCTTAACCTGTGTAACAGCAGCAACAGAAAGTTTTCTGACAGCAGTGCTGGATCAGACAGTCCCTGCGATGCTGGGCACTCAGCCTTGTACTGGCGTAAGTTGAGTTGCTACAGGGCACTAAAGTGGAGGTCCATCTCCACTGGGCTGCGGCTGCAAAATGTCATGTAATGTGCTAACCTTAGCTAGCGCTGCACACTGTTAGCGTTGTAACGTAGCTGAAGAGAAACAAGGTACTCAGGAGCACACATGACATCACATCCAGAGGATTTTCCCAGAAATTTCCAGCCGATTCCTTTACAGAGAAGTTGTTGCACAGGCTGCCTGTAGGCTGAAGTCAGGGAAGGTTTCAGTTTTTAAGTTATGTTACAACTTGTTCACCCATTGGCAATAAAAAACGATTAATATGTGTAAAAAGTTACATAAGTAGCTTTAATCTGTTCATCTTTACTTTCTTATCTTCAAGTTGAGACTGAAAATTATTCATACTTGAGGGTCACAGCAATCACCCCTATTTTGTAAAAAGCCCCTGAAACTCTCTCCATAAAAAATGGGTCTAAAAACTGAAAAGAAAAAACTTATTTCCTCATAAAACTGAACCAAGTGACTGCTGAAAACATTTCACATTGGCAAAAAAAAGTGCCTCATGAATCAGAGCTGTGTTCTCCTGCAGGTTTTTTTCCCATCGTCCTCTGCACTTATCCAGGCTGTATATATTGGATATATTGTATGCAGCCTGTCCTCCGCAGCAGTGATCTACTGTAAGTGGGTCAGTTTCCTCGCTGGCAGCCAGACAGTGTCCTTGGCCCGACAACAGTGACACTGACTGGACCAGCTCCACTCCAAACCTGCTGTCCAGTCCAACATTATATAATGTCAGAGAACTCAGAATAAATAACTTGGCCGTCATCTGTGTTGTGTCACTTTCAAAGGAATGCATTTGTGATTTTGGGGATATGTAGCTGAAAACACTTCTCCAGTGTGACTTCCAGAGAGTGAAAAGTTCCACTTTCTTTACCTGCTGCCTGCTCACTTTGTGGTTTGGTGACGATAATGAGTTTATCAGAGCTGATTTGCTAAAAACACTGGTCTGCTGCAGCTAGAAGCAAGTTTGAATCATGTGGTAAAGAAGCCATAAAACAAAAACAGTGAGCTAAAACAGGCTAAAAAGCTAACAGCTATTCAATTCTAAGATCGTAATATGTAGCTTAGATTAAGGAGGCTGACGGTGAGAAACACAATACTTGTGCAGCAGACCCTACACCATAGCCTAAATTATGTCAGCCTACACATGTGGCTTACACCGTTGCGAGCATTTAAACCTGTATGTCTGTGTCACTCTGCAGTTACACCTCCAAAACACTAGTTGGCGGCAGGGTTTCAGACAATTTCAAACACAAGTACACAAATCAGCATCACTTTAACTCGCAGCATTCACAGACAAACACTTGTCTTTATCTGGACACATTTTCCCCGCAAATACAACATGCTAACGTTATTACCGCCAGCCTATGGCATTTTTCATTGTATAAATTAGCCTAGGCGCTAGCGGACTTCTCCTCTACTCATATGAAGCCAGGGACAAAAGCAATATTTAACAAAGGTAATGTTACATAATTCAACTCTATTACAACTCACAAGGTTCACTGACAAAACAACTGTCTTACACTAAACACATTTTCCAAACAAATACAACATGCTAACATTATTAGCGCCAGCCTATGGCATTTTTCATTGTATAAATTAGCCTAGTGACTAGCAGGGATTTCCTCTGCTCATATGAAGCCAGGATAAATCACACACAAGACTTAAAATGCTATTTTTGTGGAGGCTTTATTGTCTTCACAATTTATTGTTTCTTATCTGTGAAATTAAAGTAAATAAAAGCTTTGTTTCCACTGAGGGAAATGGTTTCAGCTTACAGAAATAGACAGGAGGTCTGTGTCGCCACAACGTGTAGTTACGTTTCTGGGGAGGTGCACGTCAGGCTACAGCGTAGGCTCTACATCAATGCAGAGCCTACGCCGCAGTTGAAAAACAAAGAAACCTACTCTTTACTATTCTTCTATGCACTTTTAAAAAGTCTCTACAGTCTGTGAAAAACAATTTACAAGACCTGACTTGTGTTAAATGCACTGATGAGTCCAAACATCGTCACACTTTATATAAACGGTAAAGAGTTTAGTTCAGAACACGAGTCAGAGCTCTTCATAGCAAGTTGTCCTGGATGCACCGTGAGTAAGCGGGCAAGGTGTGCACTTGCTGCTTCTTTTGTCACCAGAGCAGAGAGGCATGCTCCCTCTGTCGCCTCTCTAAGTGCAGATGTAGGATGTACTGTCTGTTTGAACAAAAATGTACAGCAAACAAGCCAGCAAGAGGCAGAAAACCGTGCACTCGTTCTTTGTATCCAACCATGTAAGTTGGGTTACGCAGTTCTTGATAACAGTTAGCTGACATTAAAAGATGACCTCTTTTCCTTGTCATCAGGTGTTTTTGGTTATTTGGTTTGGTTCCTTAGCTGCGATGGAGGGGCGCCGTTGAATAGGAGAGAATATTTCAATAAATCATTCAAAAAAATTGGATTACTCCACAACAATCTGTCCCCACACTTCTACCATCTGTTTATGAGGAGGTGCGCGTTCACGACATACAGTCATGAGCATAACTGACACCCCTAAAGTTACCACATTGGCCTACCTGTTCTGCTCCATGTATGCGCAAGTTTCACACCACAGAGCTTCATGTCCGGCTGTTGGGAATCGGCTGATAAAAAGATAACAAGTTTAGAGATATTAGACGTCTGAATATTATAGCCCACAGCAGGTGATATTTCTCTGTCAGGTCCAACAGAGGTTGATACCGGACTGTGACCTGCATGAAGACCCTGAGGCAGCTTTTTCCTATTTACTACTCAGCTGTGTGAGCGGCACTGCCGAAATATGCCAATAAAAATCATGACATCTAAAAATAAACCTCTCGATAGATTTGCAAGTCATGATGGTGGTAAGACAGTGAACAGAATATTAACTTAGCGCTGAGTTTGTCTTTGTTGTGCATTTTATTTTTGCTAAGATCACTGTAATATTTAAACTCCAAATTCACTCAGAATAAGGCATTATGATGATGAAGTAAAACAGGTGTTTGATGTCACAAATACTGATCATTTCAAGATACAGTCACCACAGCAGGCTCAATAAACACTTCTGTCAGACAAATACAAACAGTTATAACTCCCCCATGAAGCGTTATCATAATCCACAGATCCATATTATCCAGACCAAGCTTCATTTTACACAGCTTCGCTTTCCTCTCTCACACTGCTAATAGTCCAGACGATCTAAATCCAGCAAATGTTTAGTCCAAACACGTTATTACATCCATAGATATCCACAAAGTGCCATTGCATTGTTTCAAACATTCATATTACTCCACATATGATCCATAATTTCTCCTGTTCTACATGTAAACAAACATCTCATGTATCTTAAAATGGAGGCGAGCTCCTGGCCTTTCCATTGACACCTCAGCTGAGCCAATAGGAGCTTCCATTGCTATTGCTTTGGCCTTGATAGCCAAGCAGAGCCTGAGCTGAAGGGACACATTTCCTGTAGTTGAGAGGTATTTAAAGAGCCAGCGATTGGCCCACCTCACCTGAGACTTATGGGTCTTGTAGTCAATGACACTCTGAAGCTCCACAGCAGTTTTTAACCCCTTAGTGTCATCACAGACTGTTATAAATGTACAGAAATGATAAACAAACAGCTCCTATGCTGTCTTAAAAATTCTTTCTCATTAATTTAGAATTTTCTACAAGTGTTTTTAAATACAGTAAGCTCCCAAATAGACTTTTCTGTCTGTGTTGATTAGTTTTTCACTCACTTTTTACCCTCTTTTTTGAAAAGCACCTTGAAAAAACCTTAGAAAAACGTGTAAAATGTTTTGTATGTATTTTTTGTGATATTGTTATCTACTTTGAATTTGGGCCACGTGAGGCTTCATGATATGGTCACCTGCGCTTCGCCAACTGGGTGTGGCCAGGCGGATTTTGCAAGTTTGGCACACCGCGTGCCTGGTGCAGCTACTCCTCTTTCCCACCTCCGTCCCTCCTACCTGCGCAAGTCGGAAAGAGGGAGGAGAGAAGGCGTGGAGTGGGTTTTACACACATCACACCAATCAAATGAGCCCCTCTCCTCGCCCTTAAATGCGCTGCGCGAAGGTGTAATGAGAGTTTACTCAATTCGCCATGGCAGAAGAGAGCAGCAGCATCAGACGGCCAAACTTCTCCCAGGAGGAAACTGATGTTTTGGTCCGGGAAGTCCAAGCTCGCAGTGTCCGAATATACGGAACTGCGAGCAGACCTCCACGGGCTGATGATGCAAAGGTAGCCTGGGAGGAGGTCACCACAATTGTAAATCAATGATGCGTTTCTCTCGTGCGCGCACGTGCTCTCTCTTTCTCTCTCGCAGTCTCACTCTGTTTCTTTTCTTTTGACTTTTCTAAGATGACAGATGCTGAATATATACTCCCTATCTGATGCTGTGGCTGTTTGTGGTTGGCTGAGAGGGATGTGAACTCATTAGTTTGCAGCTGTGTTAATCAAATCAGGTTGGGTTTCCATTACGCGTGCCAAACGTGCCAAACGGTGCCAATCCCCTTTGATCTGACATCAGATGTGACGGGACAGTCGATATAGAGACACATTTATGTGCTGATTGCAGATAGTTGCATTGAATAGTGGTTTTTGGGTATTTATTGCATCGTTAATGTGCCTGATATTCTGGAAACCTGCCTGTGAGGTTTTGGTGACGTGTGCGCACTGTCCGCCGGTCAGCCAAACTTCCACTACACCAGCTGCGCTCCGCCTGCGCTGACAGTAGACCTGGTTTCAGCTGGCGAGCTTTTAGCGCACCTTCGGCGAAGCCTTTTGGCACAAAACTGTCACTGTGCCAAGCTGGAACTGTCGACACCTCCCCCTGCTGTGCCGCCACACCCATCTCAGCGCACCTCGGTCTGCCAAACTACCAAACTGAGCACGCCTCGGGTTACACTGCTCGAAACTAGCTCTGCGCGGGGTTCGCCACCCTGCGCCGCGCCAGGAAACTAGAGCCCATTGTGTTTTACAGCTAATAAATTCCTGTTCTAGTCATCTGCAGAATCTTTTTCCAAGAAAATACTCAGGCAAGCATAAAAAAAACCCTTTATTTCAGTGTGTTGAACTTATGTAACTCAGTGACAGAAGCACTTATAGTGACTCTTAACAACTAAATGTGTTATTACCTTATTGGGTCACAATGCAACCCGATGTAAACCATGAAGTTTGTTAGAAATACATCTTTGTTTCCATGTTCTGTCCTCCCTGTGCATTCATGTTAAGTGATGCAAACTTTTTTGCTTCCTCACAAAATTCAATCATCATAGAAAAGCCAGAATTTTGAATAAGTTCATCGAGGATACACACATTCTCTCCATCCTCATTGTTAAAGGTCACCTGTGTTTTCATCCATCCAGGTGACGTAGAGATCGGTCTGATGGAGAGGAACGGGGGTCTGGAGGTGGAGGTCGTCCAGGCAAGAGGACTCACCATGAAACCAGGCTCAAAGGGACCTCCAGGTACGTTTTAATCTGGAACTTTTTCCATTAAAAGAATAGCAAAAGACTGCAGTGTCTTTAAACACTGAGGCAAATAACATCCGCTCCACACAAACAGAACAGCCTGCGGCGATATATATCCTCCAAAAACACAGTTGTGGTCCTTGAAGATATGAAAGATGCATGAGTGAAGAGGAGGAAATGGTGTTTTCAGTGTTCAGGGAGTTAACACACAGAGCAGAGGAAGGTGATCCGCTAAATAAGTAACATCTACATCTGCTAATGCTGTAGTGAAACATGCCGCATATTTGCTGCTCTTTAGCATCTGTGTGGTATGAAAACACACCTGCATGGCGTTTGGTGTGTTTTAAAAACGCTCTTTAATCAATCAGATACCAATCAGAAAATGGTTTACCAGCTTTAATACCATCAGATGGGAAACAGATCAGCAGAGACAGAATACTCTGTGTCACAGAGCTCTGGGCGTTGCAAGAATTTAAGAAGCAATGGGGTCATGAGTCCAGAAAAGGATCAGCACTCAGTGAATAACCTCCTAAGCCCTATGATAAGCTATTATGGCAAGGCTTAACTATACAGACCAGTGAGCAGTGATAACTAGCATGTCTTTGGGGTTATCAGGTGGGAACCTCCTTTCACCAGTGTTTCGTCTAGTTGGTCCCACGACACCTCCAGGAGGCTAGACAGTGATCTCTGGCGTCCCAGAGACACTCCCCTAATGCCAGGTCTCACTGCTCCCCGCACCAACCCAACAACCTCCTTTACCTTACTTACACATGGCTTTCTCAGCCCAAACAGCACTGCCACCTTCAACAAACCCAGGCTCTGCTTATGCGAGCTCCAGGTAGTGACAGTGCCAATACTGCCTTTCCTAGCACATTCACCATACCCTATTTCACACGCTACATATCATAACTCCAATATAAGCTGAAGTTAAAGGAGATAGAGAAGATAAACTCACAGGATCAGCAAACACACTCACCTTGCAGCATGGTCTCAAACAAAAGGGATTCATATAGGCCACTCCCACACTTAAATAACCTTCCTCTTCCTGGATTTAAAAATCCAACCAACTGCAGTCATATTGTTCAGTGTTTCCACTTTAATAGTATGTTGGTATTTCGGACACAGCCTTTGTGTTTGTAATAGAAGTCAAACGTAAACTCCTCCACAGGTCGGTTGTAGAGGTGAGGCGTTGAACCTCTCACAGTCCCAGAAACACTGCTGACATTAGTGTCCTCCATGTTCCCTACAGCCCCTGTCACAGGTGCAGTAGGTATTCAGTAACTCATTTTCTGTACTTGAAAACTACAGCTCACTCTAAGGATTTTCAGCTTCATGCACCATTACACCTGAAATACATCAAACTGTGCTCAGAGATCTGTTAACATCAGTTGGCTGGCCAGCAATAAACCACCGGAGCACTAAATTGATCAAGCGAACAATCAGCTAGTTAATGAATCAGATAAGTTAATCTTTTTCTGTTGTATCAGTGATTACGTCGGTCACATGAAACAGAAACAGGCCTGGCACGACGTCAACACGACTCTGCTGTTGCTTAATTTCGCAGCAAGTTGTATTGTGTAACAACAAACTATTAACTCTGATTGTAGTCCCCCTCTGTGGTTGCATAATATTAAACCAGCCATTGATCCTAATTGCGTAAGAACAAAACAGCGTCAGCGAAAAAGGAAAAACAAAAAAAAACATATGAGAGAGAGATGAAAGAGGAGAGGATGATAAACAGAGCAAAGCACAAACAAGAGTCAGAAGAGAGAAACACGAGGAGAGAGAATGAATGAAAAACATAACAGACAGAGAGGTGGAAGGAACTCCATATATGGTAAAAAGACAAAGGACCTTGATCCATATTTTGGTGTGCCAGGGTCTAATCTTTAATCTTGTCATCTAACATACAGGACAAAAAGCTTTGGAGTGTGTGTGTGTCCGTGTGTGTGTCTGTGTGTGTGTCTGTGTGTGTGTCAGTCAGTCAGAGTCAGACGTCTAGCCTCTAATATTGTTTTGACTTGTGTTACTCAGCAACAAAGTCTCATTTCAGGGCATAGAATCCTAACCGATAACCTACAAGACTGCTGTTCAGTCTGAAAATGAAAATAAAAAAAACAATTCTTCTCATTCTCGAAAATACTCTCTCCATGCTGCAGATCTGGCGCTGACAGCAATTCTTTACATTTGTTTCCGAGCATGTGAGTGGAGCAGAACTCAAAAATTGACGCTTTGTGATGCCCTTCAGCATCTGATATCAACACCAAAGGCACTCTTTGGCGTCTGCATGAGACGCACTGGCCTTTAAACAACATTTACTTATTTTAGAGAAAATTTATTTATTGTGTTAGTCTGACTAAAACCGGACTTTTAAAACACATGTAAACATGTTGACTAAAATTGTACTAATGATGCATTCCAGGCAAGTTTCTGAGCCCATAAGTCACCACTTCAAGTCACAACTTACGACTCCATAGCGTTCCAGGCAAGACACTCCAAAATGTCAAAGCAACATGGCGGACCGTGCAGGGTTTATGTTTGTTTCCAATCAATTCTGTCACCAAAGGTGCTGGTTACTTGCTCATTTAAGTGAAACGGAGGAGGAGAAACAGTGCATAAGGTCACAGATGCTATTATAGTTTTTATTTTACGTTATCTGTGTGTTTGGTAACATATTTTGTTTTGATTTATTCTTGCACTGGAAACTAGCTGTTAGTGCGGCTGCCAATAATGCGTTAACATTAGGGTTATTTTTTGTCTATTTCTTACCATGTATCACCTGCATCAACACTGCATCCATAGGGCTGCCATTGTAGTTTTGAGGAGTAAGGTAATTGGTTTTGAGGGCTGTGTGACGTCAGAAAGCATAACTGGGAGTACATCAATCTGGTACGAATTCACGGGTGCTAAGTTACGGGTTTGACTGCCGTTCCAGTGCACTTTCACAGGTAGAAGGTTGTAAAAACACGGGTTACAGGTTGCCTGGAACACGCCATAAGTCAAATTTCTCAAAGTCGAACTAACACCCAGATAATGCGATTGGGGGTCAAATTCCTCCTGCATGTATATAGTCAGTCGGACCCAAACTGGCCAAAGTGCTCTTTGCATGCTCTACAGTGTCCGCCCCAGGCTTTGACCCTGAAGTCGAAAGCATTAAATGTGTTTGTACAGAGCTGTAAAGTCGTCCACCATGGTACCAGTTTGCTGCTAGCTACCCATAGCTAACTTGTGTGTTGATTGATTGGTCTGTGATGTAATAGGTCAACTGGGAAAGGTCCAGTACTAACAAGCTGAAAGGGGGCATATCTACACCTATTGTAGCAGAGCCAGACATACTTCAGTAAGTCCACCTCCTGCGCTTGTGTACTGGGACAAAGACAGTAGTCCAATTAAATGGCTCAAGGACAGAGTCACAGGGAGTTAAAAGAGGTCACTCTCTTAAAACTCCATTTTGAAAATAGAGAACTCTGAAGGGGTTAACACTGAGCTGAGGTTTACCTTTTCTGTCTGCTGTCGTTTCAGCCGCCTACATCAAAGTTTACCTCCTGGAGAACGGCATCTGTGTGGCCAAGAAGAAGACCAAGTCAGTGAGGAAGTCTCTGGATCCTCTCTACAACCAGGTCCTGGTCTTCTCTGAAAGCCCACAGGGGAAAGTGGTGCAGGTGAGATACACCATAATGTCCCACTGACTCACAACCAACAGGTCGACAAAGCCATCCATAGATAGTTAATGCATAGCTCCAATCACATATCAGTCGCACCATTAAGGGGAAGAATTTCATCATGATCGTGCGGGTTGATGAATGTAAGTCAGAAATCGCTCCCAGCCATCTTTTCGTGACTATCAGGAAAAGTTGCGTAGGTGTGGAGGACACACAGCAGAAGAAGAGCTTGACATTTACAGTGAGAATCTGACCCGAGGGAGGGGGGCCGTTTGAGCTGATTTTGTTCTTGCAGTTGTTTGAGCTTCAGCTGCTCTCAGGATCAAAAATGTCACAGAAGACAGACTGAGAGAGACTGATCATTACAGCTGATTCAGAGCTCTCTCACCTTGATCCGTCTTCACACTTTGTATTCTTTGTCTTTCCTTCATCTTCCACCCTTATTCCCCTTTCTCTTTTCTATTCTGTTTTTCTCACTGCTTCTCTATCTCAACTCAATCGTCAGAATAAACGTTGGCATTGTACATTTCTGCAAACTACAGATACGTTACATTTGTACGATATTATGTAGCAGACAAACAAGCCATCTTTTCACATTGGCATGATACTGGCCAATTGCCGATACTGTTTAACAGTGCCCGGCAGTGTCAGGGGAAAACGCGGCAGGACAACAATGTAAGTAGAGTGGGTGGAAGGGGGTGGTGGATGGAACCAACAACCACAGACTTTTACTCAAGAGACCTGTTCTTTTTTCCTAAACCCAACCACATGTGCGTGTGTTGGCCAAACGTAACCATGTGCATTTGTTGTTGAAGGTAAAAAAACGTCGATTTGCGGTGTTGTACCAACGTGGTACCCTGGAAATCCAGAGTTCTCGCGAGAGCACAATTTGAATTTGGTCAGCAAGTCACTCTGGCAATCAGTAATGATCCTCATTACCTATGCCCATGAAACCGAGCTGCACCAATCACATCGGTGTATATGATATAGGCGGGCCAGAGGCAAGCTAAACAGATGATGACAGCGCTGCGACGGCAAAGTCCGGAATCAGTCAGTAAACATTGCAAGATGGCTACGGATGAACACCAGTTGTTTGAAACGGCTTTGGCAGCTACAATGAACGAGTTAGACTTGGCTTTTTCTCTAAAAGAGGAACAGAAGACGGCGCTCGAATCTTTCCTTTGCAAGAAGGACGTTTTTGCTGTTTTGCCAACCAGATACGACAAGAGTCTAATCTACCAGTTAGCTCCGCTGGTAGCGCTCTGGATACGTCACCCCGTGTATTGTTCTGATTGGTCGTAGTGTTATCCAATTGCGTGCAGTGATATTTACAAATGCATGCCTGGTGCCGCCCCTCGAGTTGGGCCATTCTCATTACTCATGGCCAGACCCTAAATCTTTCTAGATTTGGGTCTGGATTTCTAGGCTACCAATGTGGTGCAAACTGTACATTTCCTGTATTTTGAAAACGGACAATTCATGTTACAGGCAAAACCTGACACACTGTCCCTGAACATCAACAGCCGACACACCCAGGGTACCTTGATTAAAGATTAAAGATTGAAGTTCCACTGATTGTCACACACCTGAGTGTATGAAATTTGTTCTCCGCATTTGACCCATCCCCTGAAGGAGCGGTGAGCAGCAGCGGTGCCGCGCTCGGGAATCATGTGGTAATCTAACCCCTCAATTCCAACCCCTGATGCTGAGTGCCAAGCAGAGAGGCAGTGGGTCCCAGTTTTATAGTCTTTGGTATGACCCGGCCAGGAATCGAACCCAGTCTCAGGGCAGACACTCTACCACTAGTCCACTGAGCACGTCATATGTCGATGTGGAAAGTCCATGACCAAACCTTGATATGTGACGAGGTTGGAGTGAGAATGTGTTGGTGGTTAGTTTTAGGGACAAAACCAATGGGTTAAGGGTGGGAAAATATGTTGTCTTTGTTTAAAATACCCAGTTTTGGTGGAACGATCACGGCAGGAAACACAGCGATGTCTTGGTAAAAAAAACACCCGCTCTTCGTGGCACCATCTCCGTTGGAAACACAGCAACAGGTCACCAAAAAACAACCAGTTTTGTTGTTTATTGGTCTCAAACAGCAGCCTGAAGGGGTCTGCAGCTTGGCAGGCGTCTTGCCTCTGTGTCACACCGTCTACCATCCCCACTGCAGGTGACAAAGTCAGCTCATGTACGACGTCATTTTATGAAACTTTCCTCCTTTTTTACTCAATATCGTCTTAATTTTTGTCTGTCTTTACCTGCCTTCAAACCTTAAACCCAGTTGCCAGAAAAAATGTATGTTGAGAATTTACGTTTCAGCATCGCTGTGTTGACAGTCTGGTTAGGTCTAGGCAAAGAAATGACTTGGTGATGGTTCGGAAAACATCATGTTCTGCCTTAAAACGCCAGCGTTTGGTAGCTCAAAAGCTTCCACGCAAGAGGAGCCACAAACACCAGTGGACTCGCCTTGATATGCCATCCACCTTCCTTTACAACCCATATATACTTCCCATATCCATACATCCCACACTACATCACTTTAGGAACATTTATATGATACAGATGAAATGTGTAAATGTAACATATTGGGCTTCTTGTCTCCCTCCATCATTTTCTACTTTCTCTTTTTCCTCCATTCTTCATGTTATTCCATCGTCTCTTTATTTATTGTCTTTCCTTATATGTTGTTATCTTTGTTTCTTTCTGTGATGGTTAAATGAATCATAACACCAACATGCACACATGTATGTTATCAGCTGTATCATGTATGTCAGGTCTGCCGCCCTCGCCGATCATCAGGTGGAAGCTGTGCTGTGTTTTCAGTGCAGAGGCCTGCAGCTCTGCCTCAGGCTGCTCCGCTGCTCCTGTCGCCGTGTAATTAGCCACTAAACGCCTCCCTCTTAATTATCTGCTGTCTGTGCCGCTGTCCTCCGAGTTTCATCAAACTCATTCACACTGGATAATGAAAATCGCTGAAATCAGCAGCGCTTTTCAATTTGTCACTTCCTGATTTAGCAAAGCAGAGCGCTGCCTGAGAGCGCCGAAAACTCATTCAGAGCTCAATTCAGTCTTTGCAAAGCATGTCATGTGAGAGAAACATCTTGTTCATACACAGCACGTGATTTCATACACCTTTATTTAAATGTCAAACATCTTTTTTAAAGAGTATAGATTTACTGTGGATGTGAAAGATTTAGGCTGCAGGCTCAACTTTGATCTTCATACAGTTAATGTTCAATCACTATTTCTCCTCTGCAAATTGCACTTTAGATAACAGCTGTAGACACAAAAATTAAAACATTTAATCACACTATATTTAAATATTATAAAAGGTTGAGTCATTTTTCAAGCAAATATGTCAAACATTTGCTGATTTCAGACTCTAAACATGATAATTTGCTTTTTCTTTTTTTGTTTATGTTGGTACATAAAGAGTCTTTGGCTTTTAGACTCTTAGTTGGACTAAAGGAGCAATTTGAAGACGTTACTTTAGACCCTGGGAAATTGTGACGAGCATTAATCACTTTTTTTCCTTTCTGTTTTTTTAAGTGTAGGAGCCAATTGATTAATCACTTTATTGTTAAAATAAACTAACCACTGCACCACTGTTAAATAATAGTTTCAGCCTCATGAAACAACAATTGCGTCACCACTGGTTCTTTGATGTCATTTTAGTGTGTCTGGGACTTAATGCTGATTTATTGATCCACGTCATTTATTGCGCCTTCATTAGTCCAGGTGACGCTAGTTCGTAACATCCAGGGAATAAGGTGCGTTTGTCTGGTGTGAAGACGACAAAAGTAATGAGTAAGGAGAGCATTTAAATCAAAGATGAAGGCCCTTTCCAATATCACAGAGGCCCCCGAGGGAAAGGTGTGTGTGTGTGTGTATGTGTGTGTGGGGTAAACAGAGGTCAGGTCAGTGAGGTTGCAGGTTTGAACCCCAGTGTGCTCAGTGACGCTCCCTGAGGCAGCTCTGCTGCTGTCACTTTATAATGAGCAGCTAAACGCCTCCTTTCTAATTATCGGCTATCCGTCTTCCTCCGCTCTGCACTCGCTGGCACCATCCCCCGTTCATCTCAATCTCTGTCTTATCTCATCCTCTCTGACGACGGGCATGTAATCTTTTGTTTTCTTTTGTTTTCCAGTGTGTGTTTGGTTTGTGTTTTCTGGAGTTAGTGCAAACTAAATGTCGGCTTATCCTGATTTCTAGATGCTGAAGATCTCTATCAGGCTGCTGTTTAAACATCTACTGTCTGCTTTATTCATATAGGTAATGACCATCGCTGCATAGTTAAGAACATAATGAAGATTAGAGTGTAAACAATCAATGTCGTCCAACAATAGAAAAAATAATAACAGCTGATTACTTTTGGAATTTAACTGAAAGAAGTTGCAGAATCAGGGTTTATTGTATTTATTTATTTTTTTTAAATCTTTCCCGTTACCCTCATTTTTTATTTTTCTGTCTCTTATAAGCAGGATGAATTTCTGGTGTCAGAGTTGTGAGTGTCTCAGATAGAGACAAGCAGAGCATTTAAAGTACTCTCACTATCTGATACTTCAGGGCTCCATCACACCAGCATTTAAAAGAGCAGAAAACAGACTGAAATCAAAACAATTAAATTGAATAGAATTGCTCCTCGAGGTGAGATAAATCTGTGCAGTGTTTTGTGTATAGTTTAGGGTTGCCCACTGAAAGTCGGAGATTGGAATCATCAGTCAGAGACACCTCAGTTGATTGAGTCAGTGTGCTGTGCAGGGTGTTTCTGGGGATGTTTTGGTTCCTGTATTTTGCTGCAGAGTGAGTACTTCACCAAAGTCTTTGGTACTGACAGCTGCGGACAGGATGCAGCGGCACAGAGGGGGAGAAGCTTTCCACCGTAAGACTCTGAGATAACATTATCTTCTCTCTTCTGCTCACAAGTGGTCAATTTACAGCTCACAGCAACTAAACACAACACCGTCTGTGGCTTTTGTTTGATATTTATGTCGCAA